AACCCCCAGGTGAATCTAATGTGCATCTGGGCTTGAGAACCCCCAGGTGATTCTAATGTGCATCTGGGCTTGAGAACCCCCAGGTGATTCTAATGTGCATCTGGGCTTGAGAACCCCCAGGTGATTCTAATGTGCATCTGGGCTTGAGAACCCCCAGGTGATTCTAATGTGCATCTGGGCTTGAGAACCCCCAGGTGATTCTAATGTGCATCTGGGCTTGAGAACCCCCAGGTGATTCTAATGTGCATCTGGGCTTGAGAACCCCCAGGTGATTCTAATGTGCATCTGGGCTTGAGAACCCCCAGGTGATTCTAATGTGCATCTGGGCTTGAGAACCCCCAGGTGATTCTAATGTGCATCTGGGCTTGAGAACCCCCAGGTGATTCTAATGTGCATCTGGGCTTGAGAACCCCCAGGTGATTCTAATGTGTATCTGGGCTTGAGAACCTTCAGGTATCACCAGCTAGAGAACCCTTTGTTCTAAGAGGGCTGGACTCATAGCCGTTTGCAAGTGTGCTTTTATACTGTTCTGCAACTTTGGATGTGTGCTTTGATCTTATCTCCTGACAACAGATACTAATTTTATTTTCATGCCTTTATGCCTCGAACAAAGTTTGGTGAGGCATGCGCAGGTGCCAACGCGCTAGGAAGGAAAAGACTGGGCCCAGAGTCTCCCAAAACCCAGACTCCCAGAAATAGAAATAAATCGTTTTAAGGCTTCTTCAGTAACTGGAACCACCACCTGCCAAGGGCAGGCTCTCAGGTATCTCCTCGTGGGGCACGAGTGAGAGGAAGATGCCCAGGGCGAGCAGGAGGGAGCGGAGCGCAGGAGAAGGCACAGGGAGGGGACCTTGGATGGAACCCGGCCTCGGCCCCTGTTCCCCTGGGAGCCCGCCTGTTTGCCCGGTCGCTCCCAGATGGTACTTATCAAAATAAACAGCCCAGCAGACAGAGGCCAGGAGAGAGAGGAGCCGGACACGGGGAGGGCAGAAGCCAGAGCGCATGGAGGAAAAGGCGACTGGCCACAGCCCGCCTGAGGATCCCGGCAATGTTGGAAGCCGGGCGACTTGGGTCCCTACCCAAAAAGTAGAGTCTGAAAAAAAAGATGACACTATCAAGGGAGAGTTCCTGAACAAAAGGAACAATTCTTATCTGAGTCAGGTGACGCAACCACATTTCGACAATAGAGAGTGTTTCTAATCAGACCCGGAGGAAATTAACCAACAAGGGCGTCGGGGCGGGTCGCCCGTGCGCGCTAGGCGAGGTCCCTCTCGAACCCAGGCAGAAGCCGTGGGGTCCAGGCGGCAGGAGGTTAACGCCGGGTGGGGGCTCTGGGGACACAGCGCCGCAGCCCGAGTCCCCGCTGCGAGCCGCCCCAGAGGGGTCCACGCGAAGGGCGGCCCGAGAGCCCCGGACTGGGCGCCCTCCCGGTCCGCGCGGCAGCCCCTACCTGGCTCCGGACCGGGGCCCCGGGTACGGCTCCACCGCCGAGGAGTACAGGGCGAAGAGGAGCCCCGAGCAGGCAGCCGCGAGCACGAGCAACAGCCAGCAGAGCGGGCCGCGCGGGAGACCCATGCAGCCCCGGCC